GTACATTTTAGCAAATTTCCTCGAATACGCGTAGAAAATTTCACCTTTGAATTGTTTCGATTTGCATCAAACGCTTAAGTAGCTATAGTGCTTTCATCTTGACACTTTTTTCGTGGCAACGAGAAAAATGAGCTGACTTGTTTTCTAAGTGGGCGTACATTTTAATCTTAATCAGTAGGTTTCCCATTTTTTGATGCACTTTCTAAAGATTGTTTTTTGAAAACAATCGTAAAAAGGTTTTTCTGATTGAATTGCTTTAAATTAAATGTTGTCAGATACCCGCCATTTCAGTTTGGTAATTCGTTGAATTTTTCTGTTAAAAGCGTTCAATTTTATAAAAAGGTAGGAGCAGTTATTTTGCAGTCCATTAAGTAATAGCCAACCTGCGGCTTTATCAGGAATCAAAACAAAAAAATTATAGTCACACTCGAAAAAATTATACTTAAAACCTAAAAATATAGTTTTCTTCAAAAGCAAACCTAGCTTTCATCGGTTGATGCTTCTTGGTTTAAATTTTGAACAGAAAAACCAATTTTGTAACTTTAAAAAAGGTATTCAGCTAGTCATGGTAAAATTGCAAAAGCGGGAAATCTTCTTTTACTTCTCATGTAATCCACTCTAATTTGTTTTGATTACAAAAATTTGAGCAGTAGTAGTAACAGAAACTTAACAATTTTTTTAAAACTTTTACAACCTTATAAAAATGAAGATTATCTGCCATTTGAACTAATTACCTTTCAATTACATAAATTTGTTCTAAAAAGTAAACTTTACGTTATAGAAAACAAACGTTTTTCGGGGTTTTGATTTAAGGTTCAAGTTTGAAAACAAATTGACAGCTTTCCAATGAACCTCGCTGATTGAGTGAAAAAATTTTAAATTTGAAATGAAGAATGTTTATTGGCGGCGTTGGTTCATTTTTTTGATTGAATCATCAACCGGTTCCACCTGAAATTTTCATCTTAAGCATCATTACTAGGGGAGCAGTGGTGAAGTGGTTACGTCTCCGCATCTCAATCGAAAGGTCGGATGTTCACGGCCCGCCATGATCCGTGCTCGTTGCTTGAGGGTGAGGCAACATTAACCAGCCCAGAAAAATAACCAAAAAAAATAGCATGTAGTTGTTAAGCAGGGGCACAACAGCGGTTCGCCGTGATGAGTTGTAGAGCTGTACAGCTCGTATGTTGGTCCTATCCCTCGTGGATAAAAGATCTTTAAAAAAAAGAACTGCACTTTCAAGATTGTGCTTTCTGCGTGTATTTTTTAGTCTGAAATCTGCAGACAATCTTTTGAACCTGGTAAAAATCAAAACAACGAAATTGACGTACCAAATTGTTCGCTAACAAGTACCCACAAACATATATGTTCGATTTCCCAAGTATACATTTTGTCGGGACAATCAAAAATCAAAAATATCAAACATAGTTGATGAAAAAAAAAACAAATGTTGCTGGTTCTACACTAATTTTTCTTCCAGTCTTGTGAAATCGCAAAAATATATATATTTATATGTATAAAGAAACGGTTGGGCCGCGTAAACAGTTAATTATTGACCTTGGGCCATCTCAAATGTTTCATGGTTGAAACTTTTTTGGTTCCAACTTTTGAAAAGTATAGGAAAATTTGTTGGGTGTATTAGTTCTCAGTGAAATTTTTTCAAGAAAACTTTCGACTTTTATTGATTAACTTTGATTTTTATACTTGAAAATATTGATACCCTGAGCTCAAAATGAAGACATCTATATATTTTAAGTGAGATCTTCTATCGTTAAAACATAAAAGTGAGTTAATCCTTCTCCTTTATCTTTCCAAATTGAACTGAGGGCAGCCAAATGATACAATACTTAAGAAAAGAAGCTAAACATACGTATTTAGGAAAATGCTAAAATTGAGGAAATGTTTCAATTTATTTTTTTTGGAAGAAAAACATCATGCTTTTCTTGCAAAACTTATTAAAGACACTTTTCTTGGAGTCGAAAAGTTGAGAAAAAAAAACAAACCAAAAGGCAGAACCCCCTCTAAATCTGCAATTAATTATATGCCCCCTCTGCCCACTTAATAAATCTATTTATAATCTGTCAATAACTGAAGCGATGATTATAAAGTTAATTTTCAGATGATTTCACATATAACTACATCAATTCTCTTTAATAATGACCTTGTTTTTTCCCCACAAAATGGGCTTCGCCAGCAATTTTTTTCTTCATTTAGCTTAAAATCAACCTCAAAATCCTTGCAGCTGAGTGGGGGTACCGTTTATAAACTTCTTTGAGTTGTGATCTGCATTTCCTAACAAATTTTGAAGTAGAGGCAATAAAAATAAATTTAAAAATTTTGTTACTCTGACAAATTTTGAAGCAGCCTTAGAAATCAAACATTTTTTGAAAAATATAATTAAATGTATATTTTACTAGTACCTACTTATTAAGAAATTATTTTTTTGAACTGCTGTTCTTTTAGATCGGTGAAGTAATTCTTCTGATGTCTGCATTTAATTATAGCTTATCACCGTCAAATAACCCTCTTTTAAGAAAACCGCTTTACAACTCTAAAACTTTAATCACTAATTGCTCGTTTTCTATTTTTGAATCATTTAACAAAACAAGGTAAGTCAATGGTTCAAAAATAGAAAACGATAGATAATGCAAAACCGTCATTGTTAAAAATTATTGGATGAAAACACTTTTTTGGGTAAGTGTCGAATTAATGATGTTATTTTAAGATCTATAGAGAGCACTTTTGTGACCTCTCCCGTGTAATTAATGTGTCTTTCTATAAGCCCTCTTTTATTAATGCGATGACGTAGACGTTGTCTGATTGCAAAGGTTCTTTGGGTCCTCTCAAAGATAGGTGAGGGCTGTTCTCCCAGCAGAAGGCCCGAGTGTCAGAAAACTTTCAACCAATCAGCGACAGTCATTCAAGATGCTCGAATGTGACTGTTTTAAAGCTTTCTGCTGTTATTTTTTTCTAAGTTTGTTGAATTCTAATTGACTAATACTAATATAACTTTCGACCATCCGCACCTTCTGTCAGGAGGGAGTCGCCCGTATGGTTGGAGGGCTCTTAATATCCTTAAAGTAAAAGGTTATTCCCATTTTAAGTATTTTTTATACTCCTCGTTCAATTTATTTTTAACATCAGCTGATCCGATTTTGGTTGACGTTTTGTTTGACGTCAATAGAAGAGATTTGAGAGAAAGGCCTCAAATTACGGAGTTGATCGAGATAAGCCAAAAATAAACTGACTGCTTACCAGACATGATATCTAAATCGAATATTGTTATCAGTATCCGGAGCTTTTTTCTATTTTAAGCTTGAAAATGAAGATAAATGATTGATTTTGTTGTTATGAAAGTTATCAAGAGAATAAGGAAAATTTATTTTTTCTTAACTTTAAAAAATACCCGTCTTTTTTCCGCCATAGCCCACTCCCCACTCCCCCCCCCCCTCACCTCCTTCTCGACTATTAACAAAAATATTGAAGAGCCACCAAGCAGTGTTTTTTTGGTTATTATTTGCTTGGAGCTGATATAATTAAGGAGAAGTTTATTTCTATCTAAATTCACTGAAATGGCATCTTTTGAATTTTTGGTGACGTAAAATTAAAATGCAGATGTTTTTCACGGCTTCAATTTTTTTTGAATGACTCGATTAGCGGATCTTTTGAGCCTCAATTTTTAATCAGCTCTTCCCTTTCATTTGAAGTTTCCATGGAATAATTTTCGAACGAGTGAGAGGCTTACGTCAGAAAACATGATTGATGGTCTTATCTTCCGCCATTGATGGACTAATTTATGGCCATACATTCTCCTCCCATCTGAAGCCGTTCAATTATATCAGACTTTTTGATTTTAAAACGCTTTCAAAATTCCGTGAAACGCACTGCAAATTATTTGAATTCTAGGCACGTCTTTGGAATTCATTTGCTACCAGGCCACACGCGCTTGGAGTGATTATTGGCTTCTGGGAAAATGGAATTTTGATTTTGGATCTTAGTTCTAAGTCGGAAAACGTTGTAACCCGATCACAATCAAGCAGCTCCGTGTCCAACTCTGAAAACTTTAATTCAGTTCAAGTAATTGGGAGAGAAATGTTTACCTGGTCTGTTTGGGTCCCTGAGTGCTATATAATGAAACTTATCAATGTTGGGTACTGCCTAAAATCTTAGCTAAAACGTTTACCGACCTTTACCAATGAAATTGGTGTTTTTCTCACTTTTTGGTATTTGGCTTTTTGAATTGATACTTTTTTTATTTGACTGCATCAATCGAATCATCTGGACTCCATTGTTCAAATGAACTGCTCCAGGATTTCGCAATTAGCCGTTAGGCCTCTAACTTTGACATACAAATTGACCTTGATCAAAGGATTTCATTTTCTTCTGATTTCACATCTGCCTCGGAAAATCAATAAAAATATCTCATCCATTTCTTTAAACCACTCCGAAAAAATGAAGTTTTTTTGACCAAGCCTGAAAGTTTGTAAAAGGCGCCTTTTTCGGCCTGCAATACAGAAAATTTTGGCAATAATGGTCTGTATAAATTGGAAACTGTGTTTTTTTCTACTTGCCTTTCTCAAGGAAATCTTCGGTTCGAGCCAACCCTTGACATAATTTTGGCCCTGTTCTGGGATATTTGCAGGAAAGATTGTATCACGCGGTTAATTGGACTGAATTTTAACATGCTGGCCCAAAGCGTTATTACTTGATCATATATATTGAAGACTTGTTATATATTGAAGAAATCGAACAATTTGAAAACTAAAAAAGAGCATTGATTCAACAATTAGCTACTGTTTTCGAATATTTGCATAAGTTAGATTGAGGGAGACCTCATTTGCATCAGGCGAAAGTTTTAGTATATAAATGATTTGATGCGCGCAAATGTTCCGCGCACAGCAAACACTTTCATCCAAACTCAAATAAAAAAATGCGAACTGATTTTGTACCAAAAGTTCAAAATGATGCTGAAATATATCGAACCAGGTATATTATGTTTTTAGGACTTCAAGAGGAATTCGGAACCATGGGAGGCTCCTGAGAGCGACATCTCACTCGGAGCCGAGCAGAACTTTGAAGAACCTGAGATGAGCGACCCAGTTGACATGCAAGAGTCTTTTGAACTGGCGAAACTCCGACAGTACCCTGAACTATACGACGAGTACGTGCAAGAGCTACGCGAGATGGAAATTCTGGACCAATTTGTGTACAAATTGCACAGTTTGGGCTACAATGATAATGAGATCTTGCAAATTTTGGACGAGTTGGAATCGGAAGCCGCTTTTGATGTCGACGCGTACCCTCAGGAGTCATATCCCGGCAAAGAATCTTATGGACCCGATGACGAAAAAACCGATTCAGAAGACGAATACGACAACGAAGTCAAGAGATCCGAAGATGCCAACGATGATGAAGAATACGAGGAACAAGAAGACGACGAAGATGACCTTGAAAAAGAGTTCGAGTCCCTTCGAGAAAATTTGGATCATGAGTCTGGGAAACAAGAGGCAGATATGGACGACGAGGAAAAAATGCTTGAGGAGGAAATGAGTCACGAGGAGGAAGAAACCGCGGCAATGGAGGCGGAATTGAGAGAGATTGAATACATTGCGGATGAGTTGGAGGCCAGGGGTGCCACAAAGGAACAGATTGAAGATTTTTTCAAAGAAGAACTGGGAATTGACGTCGAATTTGAAGAGGACGAGGATGAAGATGAAAATGATGACGAAGACGACAAGGAAGTTAAAAAGGACGAGAAAGATGATGAAGATGACGAAGAAGACGATGAAGCGGAAGATGATCAAGAGGGTGACGAAAACGAAGACGAAAAAGAAAACGAAGACGACCAAGAAGACGAAGACGAAGAAGATGAAGACCAAGAAGATGAGGACGAAGAAGACGAAGATGATTTTGGGCCTATGCGACGAGAAGAATACATCAAACACAAACTGGCTGCAGCTCCTGTTAATTACATGTCCAAGTTCGCTGGAGACCACAGACTGGACAACAAAGACGAAGACGAAGACGAGGAAGAAGACCAAGAATCTGAGCCTGAGATGCGTCAGAGAGCCTACCCCTTCCGAAAGAGATCCCTGGAAGAAGTGAAGGAGAAGAAGCAAGACCTGGATGAGGACAAGGAGGGTATTGCAGGGGAGCACTACTGGGTGAAGGACAATGAGGGGGAAGCGGATGAGAAGGAAAGCAGACTGCAAAAAATGTTCAACCAGTTGGGATATCTGGTAAGTGTTAAGATTTATGTGTCAACTGAAAAAGTCAACTAGATGGTTTTCGACGACTTTTTTTGTGTTTTTTTTTCTGGTAAATAACTACATTTTGATTCTCGCTCCGCGACGCCTGAAAATAGGCTAGATGCTAGTTGTTAGCCTTATAGCGCACTCTCCGGTAGTTTTTTTGCATAAAATTTTGTCATTAAAAATTTTTGGTTCATGTAATGACCTCACTTGGAAACAATTTTGAGTTTTGCAAAATTTTAACTCAATTGAGATAACTTCGGGTGGCTTGTATTATCTGCTCATTTTGGCTGGCTTATACTTCGACTGTTTATTTTAAATCTTTCGCATAATCTGCGCATTGACGCATTTTTGACGCTTTCAAAGTTCAGAATCTTGCAATAATTTTGTCATCAACCTTATACTTATTTTCAGGTAATGAGTTGGTTTAACGTTGAAAGTATAACATTGAGAGATATACTGTTTAAATGCTTGATGGTATCTGAAACAAGATAACTACTAAATTTGTATCAATCAAGCCCTCAAGATTGAAAACTCAAATTCCTCACTTAGAAAAAAAAACTACAAAACCTTTACCCATTAAAAATTAAGGTTTAAATTAAAGGGTAAATAAATATAAACTATTAACTCTCCTTATGAAGTAACTTGTTCCTTTTGTGCATTTTTTGTTTTTTTTTCCCTAAAAACTTCCAAAAACAAATAGAAAAAGAGAACGAACTTAGTCTGAAATTCTTAATTTGTTTCAGGAGTTCCAGCCTCACTAAACGATTGTCGCAACAAACTCAGAGGAAACAGCAGAAGCATAAAGTTTAAAAAGCAGAGAAAATGAGAGAAGAAACTCAGGTCACAAACAGTGAAACATTGATGCCATCGTGTGTGTACAACCACTGAAGTGTCCAAAATTATTTACCAAAATTAATTATATTATCCATAACCTCTGGTAACATATGAGTTGAACTATTTGTGCCATTTTTGACACTTAGAGTGAACTTGTATTCATTGAGTGATAAATTTTGAAACTGCTGGCAAAAAACATATTGTAGTAAAGTAATATTTGAGAGAATTTATTTATTATAAATATGGAGCATTCTGAATTTGATTTTTTGATAAAATCACTGTCGGAAGCAAAGAATACGCTAGGGTTAGTTGCAGTAGCCGATTTGTCGATATGCTGAAAAAGTCGGGAAAGTTCAGCTTATTAGATCCCGGTTTTCGACAAGAACTATACAGTTTGTGGGTTCTTTTGAGTACACTTTCCAAATACAACTTAAATCAAGGACTGCAAGTTGCTGTGCAAGTCGCACTGAAAGTTCTGACAAAAAAAAACATTTCAGGAAATTAATTCAAACATATAAAACGTTCTAATACTTCCGTAAAAGCGGTACAGGGTCAAAGTTACTATAATTTTCAGGAGCGATTGCAAAGATTATGGCACGTCAAATTTCTACTTTGCAAATAAGTTGGTCTTAGTTTTTCGATGTTTTAATGCAATTTTTTCATTTCAATTTACTCATTTTGAGGCATGTTTTTAAATTATTGTTTAATTCCTCTAACTCACAACTGGTGACTCCTTTTTATTTGTGTCAAGCATTGGATCTACTCCTGCACCCTGTCACTAACGTCTTTTTCCGTGAAAACATCCAGTTGTGTGCAGGTTTCCAACACTTCGCCTTACGTGCTGACTGGAGTTCACTGGGCCTCTTCGTTAAATTCCAAAGCTTTTTCGACACCCCACAGCAACGCTTCAAATAGTACAGGTCTAAATTCCTTATCATTGTGAGGCTAGCACTACCATACAAAATATTCCCTCAACACAGTTCTCAGCATATCATTGCCTTTTGCAAATAGCCACGTAAAAACCATTTCGGTAAAAATTACCACCCATAACTTTAGAATGAGGTATATAATGGGTTTGGCAGACCAAGTTCGCGATTGCCCGACTTAGATAGTTCAAAAAATACATCGCAAAGTATAAAGAAAAAACTTTGAAACATAAAAAACCGAAACAAGTTTTTTTTCAAAATTGATTTTTAAATTTTTTGTGTTTTTAGCAAAAAGCAACTGATTATGAGTGGTAATCAGGGGCAGATTTGGGGGGGGGGGGACGTTCCTTCCCTTCTCAGGGATTCGACCCCCTCACCAACCAAAGTGTCCCCCTTGGTATTATTTTATGACATCCATATTAGGACGAGCAACACTAAAAATTTTCTTAAGGCTCCTTGGGCGCCAAAATATACTAATTTTGAAGAGGATTGCACGTCGAAAAAACGCAATTTTTTGGTCAAAATTTTCCAAAAAGCGCCCAAAAACGGCTTTCTATTACCTGTTTTTTTTTTCAATAATTTGTCTAATCAATTTGGTCAACCTATCAAATGCAACAAAATTCAGCAAACGTCATTAGACTGCAATAAAATTAAGATGAAATCTTTTGGTTTGAAAAAAGTTTTCAAGCAAAAAAAGCAAAACAATGTACGAAAACAAGGTGAAAAAACTGCAAACAACCGAGGTAATCAAAAACAAAAAGCAACTATCATTGCAAACAGCAGAGGCAATTAGCAATGCAAACACAAATGGTAAACAGCAGAAGTAAATGGAAACACAAAAAATAACTAACACAAAAAGAAGCTACTAAAAGCAAAAAAAAAAACTACAACTCTACAATGTCGCAAATAAACCAACAAAACATAAGCAGACAAAAAATAAGTGAACAAATTTTCCCGTTGAAAAAACGGGTCCTCTCAGATTTAAAATCACAACTTTTGCCATCCCTGGCCTACTCGTAACCTACAGACCAAGTTTACCGTAGACGCAAAGAAAATTAAATTAATTGCGTACTGAACTGAACCAAAACTTACCATTTCTAATTTGGAGCTTTCTGTGAACAAAGTTATTTGCGCTTGTTGATAGCAAAAGTAATAATCTTATTATTTTCATCAGTAGCGGATTTAGGGTGGACAAGGCGGCGAATACCTCCTCCTCTCAAGGATTCGATTCGATTCCCCAGACGACTCAAAGGTCCCCCTTTGGAACTGTTTTGAAACATCCATTTTTGACTGACCGACCTAAACATTTTCAAATGCGCCTTTTACACTAATGTATATGGATTTATCGAAAGACAGAGGCCTTATCTAAAACTAGTATGTTTTTATAATTTTCTCGTGCAGAAAAATCTGCAAAAAATAAAATCAGCTACCAGCGTAATTTAGAAATATTTGAAGAAGATAAAGGAAAAATTAAGACACGATATCTAGATTCAACTGTTTTTGATTTTATCAATTTCAAATTTTTCAATGTTGGCACAATCAACTTGAACATTCTTCTGCAGTTAAATGTTTATTTTTGAGGGAACTGCTGAACTTTGGTGTTTCATTTTTGCTCTTTTGTCAGAGTTTTATGTACTTTTTGTTGCTCTGAAAGTTGCAGGGAAGAAGGTTTGTATATGAACATCGACTTAAAACTTTGGCTTTAAAAATAATGGAAAATTACGACTCCTCTGAAAAGGCAGGATTGTTTTGAATTGTTCATTTGACAGTTTCCAGTGAAATTGTGAACACTCGGTTTCACGCCAAATCAACGCCAACGTCAGAATCTTTAGGTCAGAACTTCTTCGAAGTATTTAGACGTTGTCTGATAAATGTGGTAAATGTAATTGCAGAAACCGACAGGAAGTATAAAAAAATAGCATAAAAAATATAATTATTTTGAAAAATTGAGAACAAAATTAGCTTGAAAATATGAATTTTAGGCTATTTAGAGACTCAAATCTGCCTGCAAAATATTTGTTTCACATGTAGAAATTTTCTCAGTAAGATCATTTGCTTTTTTAACAAAATTTTGTCTCTCCTCCGAGTTTTTCCCATTTTTACTAGACTTAGATGGGAAGATCAAAATGAAATTTTACTGCATAGAAGGTTTTAATTTCTTAGAAAATCTATCAGATTTCTTTCATTCTGAAAAAAAGTTAGTTTCAAGTAAAAGCAAAAAGAGTTTTGAAAGTTTGCTCTTTTGACACTTTATGAGTTTTATTTGGCTCGGAAAAATTCGATGGTAAGCCACTGCTGAACGAAACTGGGGTGGCTTGAAGTTCCTCAAAAAAAAGAAAATTGAAAGCGGGGGAGAACTTAAACTCACAGAAAACTTATGCCTTGTACAGATTTGAACACAACTGTTATTATTAGTACTAACTATCCCAAATTTTTTCAGAGTTGCAAGTTCAGATATTTTCAGCATCAAAACTAGATGTTACACTTTTATATATTTCGGGGTTTGCTTCTCTAGGCTCAATCACACACTCCAACTTAACGGCACCGCCAAGTAGTCCCTTTGGCAATGAATTCAGCGCGGCGACCGAGATTCACTACTATCCACAATCCCGAAAGCGTTAATTTGGTGGTAACTATTTTGTAGGGTTATTTGTTAATTGTCCCCTTTGATACTGCTCCTCCACTACCACCACTCCCTTTGTGGCTGTGTCGTCCACTACCACCGGGCGCAAGAAAATTTGGTTGTAATTAAATTCAGATAAATATTGGCCAAGTACAGGAGGCTCTAGCCGGCCAGAACATAATCTAAAAATCTTGTCAAAAAGAAAGGGTCCGCGATTAATCAACACAATTGCCTAATTGAAATTGAAATCCCACCTGACTTAATTAGCAGTTCTCTCTTCTCTAGAGAAAACTTATTAACAAATTACACACAGTAATCCCACACAACCACTCAGTGTGACCTGTTAAATGTAATAGTGTCACTAAGGATAACTTTTCCTTTGAGGTATTTTTACTGATCTCTTCAACTTTACGATTCCTGATTCTCTAACTCGGAGAACCAAGCCGACTCGAGTTTTGCTATCTGTTCTCTAACTAAGGAGAATCAACCGTTCGCTCTCACAGCACAATCGTTCTCTTACTAATGAAAACCAACCATTTGCTCTCAGAGCACAATTGTTTTGCCTAAATGTAGGCTTTTCGTTTTTCTCTATAATGTTTATCTATTTGAGTTTTAGTTATAGTTAGAGTTGGCCTACCCACAAGTCCTGACATTTACTTTGGTGCCCATTTCGCAAGATCCCAACTGAATCCTTCCGCTGAAGACACTAGTCTTAAATTCCAAGTTCATATTAGGTATCTCTTATTAAGTGGTGCAAATACCAAGTCCAACTTCACCTCTCAACCGAGTTATGTTTTATTAACCAATCTCCCAAGGTTTGTTGAAAAAATTATCCCACCAACGTTCTGACCACCTGAGAGTAGAGAAAGATCCTTTCTACGGGTCTCTACTTCATTTCAAGCATCTAAAATTCCGATCAACACTCTATTCAAATCTCAACCTTCTAGCCATCAGGTAACGTAACTCGTTAATTAAGGGCCAAATTGGTCTAAAAAGCCACCTCTGCGAAGCTCCGTAAATATCCCGTCGTTTTTTTTAGCTAGAAAAGCTACTTCCTGTGCTATGCTCATATTACCGCCAATTTTCTCTGGGTCTACTTCTCTTTAGTCAGATTGAACTTCTAATAATAGCACGTTCGCTAAGCTAAGTTGAATTCAATGTTTGCCAAGTCTATTTTATTTAGTTTCACTACTTCGATGATTTAATGTATCAGTTATATCTCTTCCAGCTTCTGCTTCATTTACCAATAGGTGTTCCCACCCAATTATTAGTAAGGTGATCAATTTTAATTCCCAAGGGTTGGGGTTGGAGAATACGCCGTTTTTCGGTGTTAATCTCAGGGTTTTGTACGCAATTTTAGTCCTAATCGTCAAAGGTCATTTAGTGGTCACTCCTGGGTCACCCAGGGTCAATCTTCTACATTCGGATTTAAAACCCCATAGGGGTTCTACCTATCATGTTTGATCCATGTCCCGTTAAAACTTCCCAATTTATTCCATTTAGGATGTCCATTATCACTTTTTGCGGGAAAAGCTATTAAAACCGGAAGGAGAGGCCGGAGGGGGTTTTACTCACTGGAGTTTTTTGGGGGATGAGTTTAGTGTCGAATGCCACCGTAAAATCTATGAGCCCCGCCCATTATTCTGCTTAAGTTGCCCATTTCCGGTCTAAGGGGTGTTGTTCCCAACTGCTATTAACTTCGGGTTCAACGCCAAATTTGGTTAATTTT